TTTCTTTTTTTTTCTTTTCCCTCCTTTCTTGGACAGTTGGGACTTGGCAATCCCAACTTGTTGCAGTCCCAACTGACAACCAACTCACTCCCTCCCTCCCACCTCTCTTGTCTCATTCGCCCTTGTTTTTCTTTTCTTTTTCTTGTTCTTTATGCATGCCAAGTGTCAACTAGGCGTAAGGTCCTTTTCTTGCCTCTCCCTCTTAGTTTTGGCCCTTCCTATGCCCAAGAGCCAGTCCGTTATTTTTCGGACTGCAGTTGTGGCCTTTTCATGCCCTTGGGAGCCACCGTTAGCCTTCCTCTTTCCCAAACGGTAGGCCCCCTTGCACCGATTTTTTTTCGGGAGCCTATTTTTTTTTCATGTTGGCTCCTTCTAGCCCTATTTTCTTGGGGGAGGCTAATCCGAGATTTTTCGGGTTACTCCCATGCCTCCCATTACCCGTTTTCTTACTTTTATTTTTCTTTTGGCCCTCCCTCTTGTTCCCACTAGTGCTTGTACTAGTGGTGCTAATATTTTTTGCCGTCAAGATCTTCGATCTTGACGGTGCACCTTTTTTTTTTTTTTTTTTTGCACTGCATACCATGCCGCCATTTTCCCTTGGGATGCCACCGGTCCCCGCCACTTGTCCCGCCCTGGTCCCTGACGCTAGTCCCCGACACTAATCCCGCCGGTACTTGTCCCACAAGTGGTCCCGCCGGTGGTCCCGCTGGTACCGCAATTTTTGCTTAGTCTGCCATGGCCCCCGGTACTACTCCCATTGGTGCCATGTGGTCCTCGACACTCAACCCATTAATGCCGCGCCTTTGCTTGCTCCCATGTGGCCCTCGGCACTTGACCCATTGGTGCCGCATTTTTTCTTTGCTCCCATGTGGTCCCCGACACTTTGTCCCGCCGGCACCACATCTTCTCTTGGTCTCACGTGGTCCGGGACCCAACACTTTGTCCCGCCGGCACCACATCTTCTCTTGGTCTCACGTGGTCCTCGACACTTTGTCCCGCCGGCACCACATCTCCTCTTGGTCTCACGTGGTCCCCGGCACTTCGTCCCGCCGGCACCACATCTTCTCTTGGTCTCACGTGGTCTCCGACACTTCGTCCCGCCGGTGGCCTCCCCGGACGCGGGTCCCCACTTGGCCCGTGGCCCCCTCGAGCCTCTTGTCGATGCGTCCTAGTGCCCACCTGGCCCAGCCACCTTTTCCCAGGCCGGCGCCCTACGTCCTATCCTTTTCTGCTTCTTTTCTCTCTTGCGACGCACATCCCGCGTTTACTACTATTCCTGGCGGTCCTTCTTCATTTCGGGGGAAGGATTGCTTTCGCTATTTTCTTGCGGCCCTTTGTCGTTCCTTGTTAAGTCAATTTTTTCTTAGCTCAAGGATCTCCATGATTTTGGGCAGCCTCCAGCTTGCTAGTGCCTCCGCTCCCGCCTTTGGTTCTTCCACCATCCTTGCCTCTGGTTTTCTCTGCCGTGCACAAATTGGTCGTATACAGTCTCTCGAGTGACGGGAAGTCATTCGNCCCGCCTTTGGTTCTTCCACCATCCTTGCCTCTGGTTTTCTCTGCCGTGCACAAATTGGTCGTATACAGTCTCTCGAGTGACGGGAAGTCATTCGGGACCCTCCAGTCCCAACACCGTTACCCGAGTGCTTCGTCCAAGGCCCTTCACAGGCATCGCCCGTCTCCCACCAGCTTGCTGCCCAGGAAAAATGTAGACTCTCAACATTAAGCGCTCGCGACACCTCACATTGAGAGGACTCTTAAGACAAAACTCACTTCCTCACGGTAAGAAGTAATGAAGAGGGTAGATAAGGAAGGAAGCAACGTGCCTCGTAATGCTGGCCCCAACCACAGATTCTCACCGGCAACCTGATGTGCATTTATGATAACCGGTCTTTGCCTCGGCACAACCAACAACAGAATGCAGTTCCACCTCGGCTTAAATGTCACATCAGCGAACTCTCATCATCCAGCGTACACCCCTAATATCACCACATAGCTTCCCGGCGCACCCACACGACCCTGGGCCGCCTTACGTCCAATGCCCTTATCACTGCCCCACACCTCATGTGAAGCACCGAACAGCTTTTGCGAGGAACCAATGAGCGCAGTTCGAACCAGCTCCGATACCAAATTGTAAGGAAAATGAGCAATAGCGAGACAACAATATTCAGATTGCACAATCACATTGAAAGCCAGATCGTATCACAGTGTTCAAAAAGCAACATTGCACCAATATGACACCAATGGAGAATCGTAGCACTGAAAACCAATGTCAATGAGAGCTTGCTCTCGTCACCACCAACATATGTATCCTGTCCCTATCTCCCTACTTGGCGCTCGACGCCCAACCTACTCCCAACACAGCTACTACTAGCATACTTGACAATGCAACTGTTGACGTCAACAGCCTCCGAAGTACTTGAAGATGTCGCCCTTGCAGACCATCGCCAATACCAGGTATGTGCCCTCACATCATCATCATCACCATCATCCTTCTCTCTCTCTCCCTTGTCTTACATCATGTCTTCCCTCTGTACACCCGAAGACCACCCCTGCGCCTCACTGTAGTCCAAGCCCGCCAGCTATGGTGGCTGGGCTATGGCGCTGCACTCAGCAGCGCCCTTCTCCTTGCAAGACCGGACGTGCTTGCATTTCGCCTCTCGACGCTAGCAGCAGCCCATGAGCTTCAGCTCCAGCAGCGCTGCACCAGCATGCGAGTGCCCGAATGAATCTCCAGGCAGTGAGCTCTTTCCTATATGGAAAGAGCCTGCCTCATTCGGCAGCCTGGCTGGACTGGCCTAGGCCCAAAAGCTTCCGGTAGGCCCCAGGATGCTGCGCCTCTCTTGCAGCTACAAGGCCTCATTCAGTTGGGCCTCCCATCTGTCTGTGTATGAGGCTGCCATTCTCGTCCAGGGCCTGCATCATTTTGGAAAGGCCAGAAGGCTATCGAAAGTCTCGCTGCTCGGCTTGTGTTTTCCTCAACCAACTGGCGCAACGAAAATGGCTGGACCCCAAATACGAAATTGACAGCCGAGGGCCTCTCGTAATTTGTTAGGCCCGCCTTCACTTAGGGCGGGCAAAGATGTAACAGGGGGCCCTTAGGCCTGCCGAGGACCCAGATCCTTATACAAAATACACCTGACCCAAATCTGCACAACCGCAGACTCCCTAAAGCAGAAGACTGACCCCGAAAAGACAAGCGGCATGACTTCATGAGCCTGTGGCATTGCAGCTAGGAGACGTTCTTCAGGGACAGGCTCAATGAAGCCAAGTCTATGTGTAGGTTTTCAAATTTAGTGCATGCTAACCGAAGTTGCTTTTTACTCTCTTTTCTTCCATTCTTCTCTTTACGGCCTTGAGATATCCTCCCTGAGCTGATCGGACCCACATGATTCAGAATTATTTTGATTGCATCTGGATTTGAACTTGGATCTGTATTTCAAAAGCTCACGGGTGTACCAACTATGCTGCGCCCATTGGTAAAGTTGCTTTTTTCTGACCTAATTTTGATCATCAAATTTCCTGACTAAGACCAAAGACATAGTTAGGGCATACTCACACTAGGACTTCTCTAAACGTATTTGACTGCGATTAGGGACAATCTGGGCGCAATCACGTCCATAGCTTACTGTTAGTATGCCCTTCGGGCATCAAATAAACAACCCATGACGAGCACATGCAATCCAGGGAAAGTCTCTCTAAAATGGATTCCTGCATTTGTTTTGTACTGGAGCAGACGCTTCGCGTCTGATCTATCGCCAGAGTGGAGCCAAAGGCACAGCACAAAGCAGAGGCCTCTCTTATTTGACAACCATGGTCGTTCCAAGAAACAGCTGTCCACAAAGACTGTCAGGTGTGCACTATAACTTAGCACATTGCATCGGTAGAAATCCTGAAGAGAGAGTTGTCAACTTCCCAGTAAACATCAAGGCAATTCTTCATTACCTAGATCAGTAAACTTGACCAAGCATAGCGCGTGTGGCGAAGATGAGTGCACCTTATTCTTCGCATCGAGTGCTCCATTTGCCATCTCCCATGTAAAGATTGTGCAACGAAAATGAGTGATAGCGAACTTCAGCAATCAAGAAGCATCATACACACGAGTCCAGATAGTCATGACCCCGAACCAAATGCAGAATTGCAACACGAGATTCTACCAAATCAGAGCGCAGCACAAGCTCAAATTGGACAATGTCTGAATAGTCTCATCATCATCAACGAAGAACCAATGTCGAACTTCCTATCTGGCGCTCGGCGCCCAAGCTACAGATGGCAGATCCTATCTAGCCTACTATCTACAATGCCGCAAGATGACATCAACAACTTCCCCAAAGTACAAGCAGATCTCGGCATATGCCGTCCGACTCGAGCACCAGGTATGTCTCTTGTATCACCCACAACCTTGATCCCCCACACATAGTATGCCACGTGCACCCAAGGACCACCATGCGCCCATCCAACGTACAGCAGCGCTTGCAACTTGGCTATGGTTGCGCGCTGCTCAACTCTGCTAACCCGTGAGAGCGTGGGCGCCAGCCAGCAAATAGCGCAGCAGCGTTTGCACAGCATGCGGCCAGTGCCCGAAATGCCAAAATGGGAGGCAGGCCCTTTCCTAAATGGGAATGGCCTGCCTGCTGCTGCTGCGGCCTGGTTGCACTGGACCTCACTCGAAAGCTTCCGGTAGGCCCGAGTGGCTGCTTCCAAAAGAGGCAAAGGGCCCGAGTTAGTTGCCCGTACACAACTGCCCACGGCCTGTGTTTGGTCCTCGTCAGCGTCCGGCCCGGTGCACACTTCAGATACATTAGTAAATTGGAGCCTGGGCCTGGGCGCTCGTAACCAACTTACGCCGTGCAATTGTCTGGACCCCCAGAAGTGCGGGGAGGCCTGAAATGGGGGCCAGTAGGCTCGGTCGAGCCTGCCTTCACTTAGGGCAGCCGACGACACTACAATCAGGGCCTCCAAGAGGCTCATCGGGGCTTAGCCTCGCATTCCCTCCTCCATACTTTGAAAGTCCTCTCAGAAGTCTTCGATAATCTGGCGCTTCCCCTTCTGCAGTAAGGTACGACTTGAGGAGCAGTTTGCATCAATTCTTCCCTGGTGAACCATCGGTCCTCCTTTGGATCTATGTGATGTCTGAACCGAACACGGTATTGCAGCTTCGGTTTCGGAGGACGTCCCCTTCCAGTGGGTCTTGGAGCTGGCATCTCCCTGTGGTCAACAATGTCATCGATATCGACCTCTCCATCCATGGTTGGGGGCAGCATAAATCGACGAGAAGGAAACTGATCAGTTTCCAGAATAGGTGCAAGTTTGGAGGCGTGAAATACAGGGTGAGTGCGTAAGTGACCAAGGATTTTCACCACATAAGACGGTCCATCAGGATCATTCCCAACTATGTCCTGGATCTCCCACGGCCCAAAGTATTGTGGCATCAACTTTCGTGAGATCCCGTGTTCCTGCCTGAGTTCAAAAGCTTTTACCCAGAGTCTTTCCCCAACCTGAAACGTAGACTGGCGGTGGTGTTTGTTCTCAGACTTAATCATCGCCGCCTGTGCATTATGGATATTTTCCACTGCTTGCTGCATGAGTTTCTCATATCTATATGCAAACTCTCTTGTACCCAGAGCAACAGTGGACTGATTCTCATGAAATAGGAAGTCTAGAGGCAGTCTAGGCTTAAAGGTCAATTGCAGGCTGTTAGGACTAACCCCGGTCGCACTGTGCACTGCGTTACTATACAGGCTGGCGATGAGAGCAAGCTTTTTGTCCCAGTCCACCTGGTTAGGCTTGATGTAATGCCTCAACAGGTGTTGTACAACGCGGTTCATCTGTTCCTTCCTGTGACGCCCAGAAGTCTTCTACAGTTGGGTTCCCTGTTCTGCAGCTGCGGCCTGCCACAGATCATGGGTAAACCGCACATCTCCGTCGCTGACAATGGACTTAGGTAGGCCGAAATCCCTGACCTAGTTCTCCTTGAACATTCTGATTACGTACTCGTTTTTGGCTGTTTCCGACATGGCAATCAACCTAGCGTACTTACTAAACCGATCCACGATGACAAAGACATGGCGTTTCCCCCTCTTGCTGGTGACCAGCGTGTCCATGAAGTCCATAGACAAGCTCTCTCCAGGCCTTTCCGGAATCGGAAGGGGCTTAATGAACCCCAAAGGAGCCTGTGTACGGGGTTTGTCTCGTTGACAAACTTAACGAGTCTCCACGTACAGCTTGGCGTCCTCCATCATCGTGGGCCACCAGAACCTCTACAGCAAATTGGCCGCAGTCTTCTTATACCCAAAATGGTCGGAGGCATCATGACACTCGCCTAAAAATAGACTACGCAAAGAGTCTCTACTGGGCACACAAAGACGTTTCATCCCTGCCTTCTCGAGGAACAGCAAGCCATTGACCATAGTAAACTCATTAGAGGTGACCTTATCGTTAGCCTCTAGTCTACGGATGATCTCAGAAATGAACGGATCCTCTCGATAGGCTTCCACCAAAGAAACACTGTCCTCAAGCCCGAACTCAGTAATCAGCGCCCCTAGATAATCCGGCCTACGGGATAGCGCATCAGCCACCCGATTGTACTCCCCCTTGATGTTCTGTGGCTCAAAGTCATATTGATCTAGGACTTCGATACACCGCTTCAAAGCATCAGAGAGCACAGGCTGCGTCCTCATCCACCTCAAGGTCTGATGATCAGTCCTGACGTAGAAGAATCGCCCAAGGAGGTAGTGCCTCCAGTGGGCCAGCGCCTTGTAAATCGCGTACAGCTCCTCATAAGTGGACTTAGCTAACTTCTGACAGGGCATCTTTTTAAACATGTACTCTACAGGCCTTTACTTTTTCCCCTCCTGCTGCGCGAGGACGACACCTATGCCAAACTGACTGGCATCCGTAGTCACAATGAACGGCTTGTCAGGATTGGGTAACTTGAGGACCTCATGATGAGTGAGAGCATGCTTCAGTTGCCTAAAAGCTATGAATCCCCCGCGGTCATGACCGCGGGGTCAATCTCGGCCCGCGGTCGAGATCCCAACCACCGAGGTCGGCTGCGGACGAGGGCCGCGGTTGGAAAACCCTTACATTTTTAATTCCTAGGATAATAGGCCAAAGAAAAAACAAAAAATATGGGGTTGTACGTTGTTTTGCGCTCTACAAGCGTATATTTTTTGTTTTATTTTTTGACTTCGTTTTGGATTTAAAACAAATGAAAAACACAAATCCCTCAGGCAAAAGTTCTTTACTTTATTCTTTTAGTAAGAAAAATAAAGGATTTTGTTTGTTTTTTATCTCAAATTGGGTAACGAGTTTTGATATGACCCCAAGGCAAAAGTTGTTCAGTTTATTTTTTGGCATAACATGTACTTTTTTCAGATTTTTCTGAAGTTTTTTTTTTTTTTTTTTTTTTTTTT